TGCAGAAAGGAGGCCAGAGCTTCCCCTGCAGAGCAGGGAGAGAGGCACTGCTCCCAGGGGTTGCCCAGGCCCAGGGAAGCAGCAGCATCCCCTGCCCTAATTAAACAGGGCATTACTAAAACTCCTGCCCTCCAAGCCACAGCTCCCCTACTTGAATCACACCCCTACAGACCAGTGTGGAGGGATCCTGGGGCCCTCTGTGCCCTCCTGGAAGGGGGATGCTGGAATAGGAGAGCACATGGCACACAGCCACTGACAGAGAAGGGACTGAACTGCACCTAAACCCTCTGCACCTTAACCCTCACCTCCTGGCCAGACAGGAACACCCTGGCACCTTGCAGGGATCCCAAAACAGCACAGCTTGGAAGCTGCCATGCCCACAGGACCACTCTGTGCTACAGCTCCCCAGACCCCTCTGGGAGCTCAGCCATGTGCCAGACCTGCATGGGCAGCCCAAAGTGCTTGAGGCCAAGACATTTTCCCCACACCACCAAAAGCATGAGCTGCTGAGAGCTCCCATCCATTTCTCAGTTCATCTGACTCTGCTGTGGGCTCTGAACATCTAGAAGTCTTCAGCTGATCACACAGGGGCTCCCCCAGGCCTGCAGCTGAGATGGCTCCAGGAGCACAGCATGGAACACAACACAGAGCCAGCAGCATCTGCCCCTCAGAGACCCTGGCACCCTCTGGCTCCAGCCTGTGCCCTGTCAGCTTGGCCCACAGAGGCAGGAAGAGCTCAGGGCTATTTGCTCCTCGGCAGCTCTCCAGAAACAACCTGTGCACAAACAGGCTCTGATTTCCCCCAAGCTGTGACAATTCAGGCAAGAACTGACGTCCTCGGCACGGTGACACCAAAGAGCTCGATCTGTGCAGCCTTACACACCTTCTGTCCCAACACTAAGGGCCAAAATCAGAGTCACCCAGTTATGGGAGCTCCTGCCAGGCAGGAGGATGTCCTGCTCCAGCTCCAGTGCCCCTCACTCACTTTAAAGAAGAGGTAGAGCCCCAGGAGGGTGCAACTGGCCACGATGGGAAAGCGAGCAGCGTCTCGGCTGGTAATGGTCTCTGGCATCTCCGAGGAGTTCTGGAGAGAGAAGGACAGAACAGGAATGGATCAGCCCTGCCCTGGTTTCACACCTGAGCAGGGGGGAACAGACACAACACACAACATTCCACAGTGATTTTGGGAGGGACAAAACACCCACTGGCCCCTGCTATATCCAGAGGTGAGGCTGTGTCAGAGGCAGAGCTTGAGCTGGAAAACACAAACCTTGCACTTGTCCTTCCCAGGGCAGCCAAATTTTACTGCTTTTCTCCTCTTGGAGAAGGAAAAAATCCTTTTCTGGCGTTGTTCTGTTCTCCCCTGCCCAGAGGGGAGCTGGGCTCCCTCTCCGCTCACGCCCAGCCAGCCCCATCTGTGCCACCATCTGTGATCACCCCGTGCACGAGGCTCTCTCCAGCCACCTTCTCGTCCCTCACCTTGCTCTTGGGACACTTCTCCTACTCAAAAACCCCAGATTTATAAACCCCTTCCAAGCCATCTTTGCACCATGTCAACCAGCCCCTTTTGAGCCATTTCCCATGGGAGACCTTCAGCTTTCAGAGGAGGCAGAGGGCTGCCTGTTTTCTGCCCGTTCCCTGCCCACTCCAGGCCCAGCTGGCTGCTGCTCACAGATCTAATCTCACTCAGGCAGACACCTGCGGCCAGCACAGATCCAGGGCACCTCAAAAGCCCTCGTGCAGCTTATCCTGGGCATGGCAGCTGTCACTCTGTCCCCAAATTCCTGCTGCTCCCTGCAGAGTGAGGGATGAGAGCCCCCACCCTGAACCACGGCTGGGCTTTGCTCACAGCCCCCACTGCCTGGGCTGCCAGACGCCCCCCAAGATCACCTGAAACGCCTGATATGAGGCTTAAGGGCACACAAGGAGATTTTAAAAATAGTAATAGATCAGACTGTGTAAACCAGTCCTTCCTCCTGAGCTACAGCGGCCCAACTGTTGGCATAGAAGTCCCTGCTATGAAATGCAGAGAAGGGCGAGAGGAATACCGGGACAGAACAGGGCGTCCAGGCAGGAGGGCACCCCGGGACCAGCCCCAGCGCCGCGGGGCACAGCCTCACACGAGTCCCCATGCACAGCCCCTCCTGAGGAGGGACAGGGGACGCTTGTGTTTTGCAGCACGTGAATTTATCGGGGCGCTGAGGAGTGGCTGGAGAAGCCCCGGGGGAAGCCAACTCTCTCCCCGGGG